GAATCCATAGTTGAACAGGAGAACTTAGAAAACTGCAGCAATTATTCTGAAGAGAAGACTTGGCATCTCATTCCTCTTATAGTTGCAGCATCAGTTCTGGAATTTTGTCCTTATTGTGAACCCATTATTCAATTCAAGCCTGTGCCCCCATCCGTCTTCTTCATTTGAGTTGGAATCGTGGTCATTGCTCCCAATAATTACAATTACTAATGAATCCATGCTAATAAAATAATCCTAATTTGATCCAAGAAAAGATTGCGAATCCACAAAATGGGGGAATAAACTGGAATAATTATTGAATTAGTCATTCAGGTCCCTGTCCAGATTTTTATAATGGTATGTATATCAATTCTTTATTAATTTTCAATGATTATTTGTTTAACCATTATTAAAAAAATGCCTATCATGAATTATTATTATTCTCTTTAGAAGATCTAAATTCGAACAATTATATTTGTAGGGTATAAAATATGCATATGTTATCGATAAACTCAAACAATTATAAACAAATATAATTTTACAATTATCCTGCATTATTTCAAAAAAAAAAATCTTACTTATACCCTGAGTTCTTATCTCATTATCTTAAAAAAATGGATGGACACAGAGATTTATGTTATGATAATGAATTTATAAAATATTAAGAGAAGTCGAATTTATGAAATTTTAAAAAATAAAAATATATTTTCCATAAAAATATCTAAATTTTATAAAAATTTAAAATTTTAGAGGACAACCGTGAAACTTAGCATTGTGGTTTTGTTTAATAATATATTTATTTTTTGACTTCTTTCAATTCAATGTGAAACTGAGTATTGAACCATTTTTATGTCTGTTTGACGTAAAGGATGCAGAAAAAAAAAGACACGTAATTTTAGCATGAAACATGTGTTGTGGAACTTTTCTACAAAATTAGGTATGCAATTAATAATATTCAAGTAAATTGGGAGGAAAATCCTTTGGGATATTAGTGAAATTGCGTGATCATTTTCATAAACGTGCACATTTTCCTTTGTTTCGGGAAAGTATCTAAAGGGTCTAGAGAATGGTCTGCAACAAGAGATTCAGGTTTTGTAAATTTAGTTTAGCGTAAGGGTATTATTATTAATTTATGTTTAGAATAAATTATTTAAATGGTCATTTAATTTTTAGATTGTTTTTGTTTTGATAAAAAAAATGTATTTTAATTTAATTCTCGTTGTTTGAGATATTATTTATTTTAATCATATCTTAAGTAAACTCATATAATGTTAAATTTATCATATGAAAAATCACATCTATTCAGGGAAGGAGTCAGGATTCCAATTTAAGGGGATAAAATATAATTAATCATAGAAAATGAGGGGGGCAGAGTATAATTAACCATAGAAAATGAGGGGAAAATCAAAATAATCTGAAATTTAGAGCCGTAATTTCATATTTTCCTATATATTTTTTAATAATAATTTTTCTGTAGGAGAGTGGCCCCACCGACATAAGATGGCTCCATCATTGTATCTATTTATCCTATCAATCTACAAATAATCATCATCATCATCTTAGATCTGATGTCAGCGCTAAAGACATGTACATAAATCATCGTACAATGCTGGAGAATCTCTCTCTATTGTTCATCATCATTTTTGATTCATTTATTCTTTTTTTTCTCTTTCCCTAAACAATTGGTTGCAATTCTCCCTCTTAATCAAAAGGAATGAATCGTCAAAAGCAATCAGAACTCTATTTTACTTATCTATTTTTCTCATCAACAAAGATAAGTAAAATATTTTAATCATCCTGAAAATTTCTTTTAGAAGTATATAATCAATGTATCAACTTATCATTAACAGGTAATAAAATTATGCTTTGTTTTAAATGGAAAGGAGAATAATACTTAATTGGTGGGAGTGCTCAAGATTCTTGCTGTTATTTGTACAAAAGATTGCGTGCAGCCACCAACTGATATCCTTGATTTTCATTTTATAATTTTATATCGCTTACTATTCAACTTTTTAAATCTATAAAAACTTTTAAGGTAAATAGATAGAAAGTTACAGTAATCCGTTCAAATGTAATTTATCAAATGTATTTGTAAATAAATCATAAAAAATGGAACACCTTAGTCTATTATTAATTTATACCATATATAAAAGTGTAAATTCATATATTTTTGCTATAATTATCGAAGTTAAATCATAGAGAAATTAGAGGTGGCAATCGGGTCATTTCAGTTCGGTTTATTTTGGGTTAAGACTACATTTAATTTAACTTCAAATCGGTTGGTTTTAGGGTCGGGTCCAAATCGATCGATTGACTTTCGATTCGGATTAATATCAGATCGATTGATTTTGAGTCGAGTCAATATCAGATTAATAGGTTTCGGTTCGGATTAATTCGGCCTTATTTCGATTCTGGTCAACATTTAGATTTCGAGTTGATTTCGGTTCTAGTCAATCATCGCCGCTCTTTGTCGTTATAATCGTAAGTGTTATTCTTTATTACTTGTAATTCAAGAATTTTATGGGATTATATGCGGTCAAATCCCAAATTTAGGGCTAGAAGATTTAGTTGAATGCGACTCTTGTTATTTTATGCTGCTACGGAAGTTGACAAGCGTATTGACTTTAATGTGGATTGGACTAGAATAAAGTCTAATAGTTGATGCTGTTGACTAATATTATAAGATTTAAGAGTGTTGTACTAAACTATAAACTCTCTCATTGGCGTGTCTATTTTTTTATTGATAGGCGGCGACACTAATTTTAATGTTAGGTGTCGACCACCAGTATTTTTTATTGTCTTTTTTCTTTTTTTATATTCTCTCTATTTTCTTTTATTTTTTAATTTTCAATAAGTCTATATGTATGACACGTTTTTATCTACTTTTATGGAACATTTTCTTATATTTTTTGGTACTTTTTCGGTTGTTTAGTCGTTTTTTCATTTATATTTTTTCTATGGGTTGATTTGACATTGTCACGAGTGATCAAGATGGTGTCTGATTTGCATTCGTGGATAACTTTTCACTTTGCTCGAGTCTGATTTACGGTTTGTCAATGGTTTTTCAATAACTTGATCTCTTTTTGTGGTTTATTTGCAGATGAGATCATATTTGCTTGTACCTATTTTTGTTCGAGTTTCTTGGTTGGATTTTTAATCTTTCCTTGTTTAATCATTATGTGATCTTAAGTTGCTAGTTTCAATGATTATATGAAATTTTCCTAATTATGTGCTAAATTTACGTTTGTTATTGTAAAATTTATGATTGTAATTATAAATCTTTATTGTAATTTGAGATATTTTCTATTTTGAATAAAATTAATTACTTTTATAAAAAAAATGTTGAGTATTTGACTTTTTAAGATAATTTTATTTATTTTTTTAAACAAATATTGAAAATTCTTTTTTAAATATAATTGGGTTTGACATGCATGAATAGTTGAGTGTCGGTATTTAACTTAATTTGTATCTTCATATCAGTTTTGAATGAGAACTCTTTATTTGACTCTTATATTAAAAATTTATTTTCTTTTAAAACTAGTTATAGTCAACCGTCTAAATAATGTGAATTAAAGTTATCACATAAATTATAATTTTTTATTAATGTTTTGAAATAATTTCGAAGTTATTAGATCAAATATAGAGATGTTCTTTTAACCGAGGAAAGATTATATTAAACCATTAAACTATTACTAAAAGTGGTGGTTAACTAGTAGTATAATATAAAATGAGAATACAATATACAACATTATACTATTTACCACATTGCTAGAAAGAAAATAAATAAATAAATAAATTATTTATTCACTAAGATCAATTATCAGGTTGAAATCGAGTCAAATTTAGGTTCGGATCGTATATGGAGAAATTAAATTTGGGTTCCTTTCAGTTTGAGTTACTTTCAGTTCAATTTTTTTCGGTTCGAGTTGATTTCGGTACTTTTTCTTTCAATCTAATTAAAATTCAGATCGGTTTCGATTCGATTCAGTTTATTTCAAGTTTCGGATTAATTTTGAGTCAAAATATCCAAATCTATCAAATATTGGATCAATTAAATCGATTCAAACAATCAAATACGGGTCGAATTTGCGAGGTATTACATAAATATAAAAGAAATTACGAACAAATTTTTTAATCATGATCTTTTATTGAGATGGTGACAGAGTTTCCCAAACAAGAAGAAAAAAGGTCGCCCCATTTTAGGTTAGGACCGACTTAAAGATTGAAGGGACATATCCATATCTTTGGATAATATTTTTCTACTGAAAAATAAATAAACAAATAATTTGGTAGCACCTTTAATATTAATATAATTATTGGATAAAATAAGATGGTTCGTGCTTGTTTAATTCGCACGAATGGGGCACTAAGGAAAGAAGGAATCTCCTTTAGTTGTTATTGTTGTTGTAATTTGGTGGTTTTATTAACACTGTTGGTAGCCGGTACAATCTAGTTCTTAGAGACAACCTGGCTAAGGCTAAAGCGAATCATTATCCAAGTATCGTTTGGAATTGGAACCCTAATCTGTCTTTATTTGGTGCCCCACCTCCTGTTTTGTTGGTAATTTTGCTGTGTTGCTGGGCATCCAACAACATACACAAATGTCTCATCATCAAACAAGGTTCCACCAGCTGCTACATTTAACATATAATTATTAGAATATAAAACTTTTTAGACCACTTGGAGGAAGGAAAAAAATGGTTTATAATCATTGTTGTGCCCTCCGCCGATCCAAGGCAGTTTTGGTGGAAGGACATAATTTTAGTGTTATATCCCACAATGAAAATGGGACTACTCACTAGTGGCCCAATAACTAACAATCTGATAAGTCCAACTCAGAGGATTAAAAGGCTAGGCTTGTGATAATTTGGATTCAACCTATTAAGTATAACATCCTCTCACACATGAACCTAGTCATGTAGCTCTCGAATATATACAGTGTATAACAGAACTTCCATGTGATAGAAAGAGAGAAGTTGAGAGACTGAACACACAGTGTATATCCCCCAAAGGTGCAATTTTGAATACATCTCAAAAAGGTGGTTATTAGATACACGGGCTGAAAGGGGGTCATAGGCCTAAATTAAGGTATACGGAGTAATCTTCGTTATCATAAATAGCAAAAAGGTCCAGAAAAAAATGTACGTTTCATTCGGACAAGCAAGTTGGCCTACACTTAAAATCGAAAATCGTTACCAGCTCCAACGTGAAACATACTGAACATCGTATAGAAGCCAAGATCATTCCTTCTCCTGAGTCCAGATCCTCACAGTCTTATCGTTGCCGAGTGCAGCCGATGCAATCATGTTGCGGTTGGGGTGACATGCAACCGATATAACAGCATCGGTATGACCTTCCAACTTCTGAACTACCTTCCTGGACTGAAGTTCCCACAGGTATACACAGTTGTCCTCGGAGCCGCTAATGATATACTTCCCATTTGTAATAGAGAAAGAAGATGAAATGCAGAACTTTGAATTTACATGACCGGTGTAAGTTTTCAGAAACTTCCCAGTTTCAAAGTTCCAAAGCCTCTGCAGAGAGAATGTGATAGTAAGAAAAAGTTGTTGAGGACAAAAACTCCAGGTAGAGAAACACAAAAATCTAACAAGCTATTTTCAGAACATCAAAAAAGTACTTCAAAGCCATTTTAATCGGCACATAAAAGAACTCAAAAACAAAAAAACATACAAGAGAATCTTTTGCCTTTGAAACGGCATGTAAAAATCACTTCTATAAGATATAAGCAAAGTCGACTGATAAAGCAAACTAAAGTTACTTCAGCTAATCGGGCTGTTTACAAATGCAATAGCACTTCAAATAACAGTTGTTTATCAAATAAAACTATTTGTAAACAACGAAACATAAAGAAACGGTGAAATTGCATTGCAAGTGAGTCGAATATGACAAATTAACCATCCTTATGGGGCATCCCGGCACTCGCTCTATCCGTTTACGGTAATACCAATACATAAGCTAACAATTTTTCTGAGAAAGGGATCGTTTCCAACAGCAGTAGTGAGATTTCAGACAAAACAACTGATTCGCTGATTCCATAGATAAACAGGGTCGGAAAAAAGCACAATTCTATTAAGTTGCCAGTATTAAAGGTCATCTAATAAAGAATAAAAAAAGCCAAATTTAGATAGTCGTCCCAAGATCAAGAACAACTCTGTTCTTCACATACAACAAACATGAAAACTTACCAAAGCTAAAAGATATATGTATGTAATATGTATGTATATATATATACATATATGGATACATACATATGTTGAAATGCCATTACATCATTAATACATACATATGTTGAAAGATGACATAAACTACAAAAGCATGTTGAAATGTCATTACAATGAGAACAGACTCAAACATGGAAGTGAAGTAAAAAAGAAGTAAAACCCACTGATACTAAAGTAAGCTAAAAGATTAGCCCGCCAAAGTAGTTCTTTAATTTCCAAGACTATGCAACATCAATTTGCCTCAGACAAGTTGAAATTTATATAAATATGCGACCCTAAAAGAACCCTCAATCTAACATTGGGAAATCAGAATTTTTTAATGAATTAACACGCATTAAAAGAAAATAAAAAAGGGGAAAAGAAAAGACCCAAAAATGAATACTTACTAAAGTATTATCCAGAGTCCCAACCAGAATAAATTTCCCATTAGGCGAAAACTTAACATAAGAAACAGGTGGGTTCTCATCATCAATCAAAGTCTTCATACAATGCCCAGTTCCAGCGTCCCAAATTCTACAAAGCCCGTCATAACTACTCGAAACTATAAGGGAACCATCTCGATTAAAATCAACGGCTGTGACTGGATCAGAATGAGCGGGCAAAACTTTCAAGCATTTCCCAGTTTTCACGTCCCAAATGCGCACCGTTTCATCGAAAGAACCCGAAACTATCATGTTAGATTGAGGGTTAAAGTTGACGCAGAAGACATAGTTGGTGTGGCCGTGAAGGGTTTTTATCAAAGAACCAGTGGGAACGTCCCAGATACGGATAGTTTTGTCGTCGGAAGCAGAGACGAGGAACCGGGAGTCGTTGGAGAAGGCCACGTCGGAGACGCCTTGGTCGTGGCCAGAGTATTCATGGATTGGAGTGAGGGTGGCAGCGGAGGGGGAGAGAGAGTAGGTCCGGAGGGTTTTGTCGGCAGAGGAGGAGGCGAGGAGGCTGCCGTCGGAGGAGAATTTGACGGAGGAGATGGAGTTTTTATGGACGGCTAGGGTTTGGGAGAGAGCGTAGGGCTTGAAAGGCTCGGTTGCCGTCGCCGCCGCCTCAGATGTGGTGGTTGTAGCTTCAGTCGACATATTTTTCGGGGATCTCGAGGAAGAAAGTTTTTGGGGGGAGGGTTTAGGGTTTTGAAGTTATTTTTAGGTGAATTTTTGTTAGCTGTAGGAATAAATACGGACGATACCATTTATTGGATTAAAAACAACCTTTTTATTACCAATCACAAATGAGATAAAAAATTATTAAGTTTCAAAAATAGGATTGAAAGTTCAAATTCTGGTTTAAGAATTAAATAAATTGAAATTTATATTAAATTTATGTAATAATCAATTGATTAATAAATAAGTTATAGATAGTTATAAAAAATTAATATCAACTAGTTTTTTATTACTAAAAATATTTTAGACAAAAATTAATATAAAATTAAAAATGTGATAACTAAATTCATATTAAAGTGGAGTAAAAGGATTTTGAGAATTAATTTTTTAAAATAATATGAGATAATTATAAATTAATATCTATTCAAAATATTTTTTAACTATTAATAATCTCATCCTCGTTTCCATCAAGCAATGGCTTCGTTCTGGTTGTACAGACTTGTTGACTTCCATCATTGGACTTGTCGACGCTATGTAGGAAAACACCTGTAACAGAAACAACATTAATAAAATCTTCTGTAAAATAACTGATATACAAAAAGTAACAAGGTCTCATGCTGCATCTGGATTTTTCAGTCTACCATACGAGGCAAAATGTTTTTATTCAGGGATTTAAATCGCGATTGCAATCGTGTTTTCGGTTGTGTTGCATTTATCACGATTGCGGACGTAATGGATGCTATCGCGATCACTGTGGGTATCACGAACGTGAATATTTTTTAATTTGCACAACTTATTACAAAATATAATAAATTGTAATTATAATTATAAAAAATCAATTTTAATGATATTTAGAGTGTTTTCTAACACTTATGAACTTCTAAAAACTTTTATTAATAGATGAGCATAATTTTTACCATCATTAATTATTCTTATATTTATTTATAAATTTCTTAAAAATATTATACAAGAAACATAAAATTAAAATTAGAATTTATAAATATAAAACAATCCATTACTTTATTATCAATAATATAATACAAAATATAATAAGCATTTACTAATAGTGAAGAAAACTAAGTTTATTGCATAAATTAATAAATAATAAAAATAATTTAAGTTTATAAAATTTAAATTCAACATTAAATCTCTTAAAAGAATTCATAATCATTTAAAAAATTAACCCATAAAATTATCTATTATTATTCACTTGCTAAAAACAACATATTAAAATTTAAAACTCACAAAACTAAAATAAACCCAACAAAAAACCCCATGGTAACCCTTTTCTTTTGGTCCAAACCTAAAATATTAAAAGTAAAAAAAATATTTAAAATCTAAATATAAATAAAATAAAAAAATTTAAATCCCTAAGCATCTTCTTCTTCTATCTCGTGAGAGAAGAATGGCAGATGCACAACAAAATCAAGTATGGATTCCCCTGCTCTTTCTTTGTTGAAAATCATCAATTGAAACATCGGGTGTTTGGGTGTCGCTGCTATCTTCAATTGAAAATCATGTATGAGTTCCATGCTATTTCTTTGTCGAAAATCATCAATTGGAACATAAGGTTCCCATGTTTTCCTCTTTTTGTTGTCCAAAAAACAGGTATGAGTCTGATTATTTTCCTTTTTTTCTTCTTTCTTCCAAGCTCTACTATCGGCCACTATCGGTGTAATTCCGCTTCACCGTTATTTTAGACAATTGCGGTATCAGACGACGGCGCTACCGCAAAATAGTAGCCGCTATCACGTTTGCTCTCCGCTATTTAAACATTGATTTTATCCTAAACTAGAAATCCCAGAAAAACTTCATCATGAAACCACATGGAAATATTTTTTTAGTATAACAACCGATATCTTATCTATTTGTTGGCTAATCCGAATCGTATACTGCATAAGCCCATTATGAGATGACTCTCCCAATCCAGTTTGCACCATTTATAACCTTAGGGTTCGAGCCATGGATCTTGTTCACGAGACCTAGCACGTCATCTCACTAAACCATGTGGTACTTATGGATCACATGCAAATATAGTTGCACCATGCTGAGTTTCTCTCAGAGAAGATGCAACTCGACCATTGTACCACGGAGACAACTCTTAATCCAGTAATAAATAGGAACATTTTATTAGTCGTCTTCTTTCGACAAGAAATGCACTTTCAGTAGTTTTGAGTACATTAGTATGCTTTAAGGAGGCTTAATATCCCGAATTGAAAGAAATACGAGTATATTCAGATTCATGCATCAAGTACTTGTACAACAAGAGGGATTATAAATAGAAGATAAACAATAAGGCAAACTATAAATGATGTGTTAAGAAATGTCATAACCCAGGTAACAAGGCAAAGATAGGCTGAAAGAAGTTTGAAATATTGTGTTCACAGTCAAATGACCTATATTTTTCAGAGAAAGATACAAATCATGAAACAACTTATCAAATGTAAATAAACAAGTTTACCGCACTAAACCTGTGCCTAACAAGCTCCAGTATAAATGAACTCACCTGGAGAATCCCAACAAGTGGTGAGGAAGGCACAACACCGAATATGTGAATCGAGACAGTAGAGATTGCCATAGATAATGGTCTCAAACTCGTCTTTACACAGTGGAGACACACATAATTGACGGGAGCCTGTAAAATCAATATTCGGTGAGAAAGTGACATTACTAGATCAGCAAAACTGCTCAAATATTTCATGATAATCCAAAATAATAAATATTGCTCTTGTGCTAATGTATTTACTTCAGTGGCAAATGTGAACCATAAAAGTTCTTTCCTTTACGAAAAGGGGAAATATGATAATATGGTTCAATTTGTATAAACTTATAAGCTACCGGTAGGGGGTGATTATTCGATCGAGTCAAATCGAGTCGAGTTAAAAATTTTCGATTTAGTTGTGCTGAAATCTTATTTTATAACTCAAACTTTATTTGAAAATTTTTGAGTCGTTTTTTTCGAGTTTCTGTTTAAAATTAATTGTAAGTATCTATAATGTTATGGTACTAATTGATTCCAATTTAAACAACTTTCTATAATCATATACAATATACATATATATTTCTTCATATTTTTTTCAGATGTGATATACATATCTCATGCAGAGTTGAAGGACTCGACTCGAACTTGAAAAATAATCCACTAATTACTAAAAATTTCGAGTTATTCGAGTTGTATTTTATAACTCAAACTTTATTTGAAATTTTTTTCGAGTCTAGTTTTGCTCAACCCTAGCTCTATGTGCTCTAAAAACAAGTATATAAGACTCATGGAATAGTTTCTAACTAAATCTTCTTTAAATTTTTTTACCAATCGAATCTAATTGAAAAAGGGAAAGAGAAACTCCCTACACCTGCAGAAATACAAATAAATAATTATTTGGAACAATATCATAAATCAAAGGTCGAAAAGAAAAAATCTAGCTCACTCCATTTTTATATTACCTGAGTTGCAAAAACAAGTAATTCACCCACAGCAAAAAGAACTATAAAACCATACAGGCTCCTGAGACAAAAAGCAGAGAAGCAAAATATTTCCCATAGAAATGTTGCTCCCGAAAGAAGCTGTTAAAGAAGCAAAGTAAGCCATAAATAATGCAATAAAAAAAGAGACAATTTCAGAAGACGATTTACAGCTGCTAGTTAGTTTCATCAGGAAGTAGGATAGAATATAACTTCTCAATTTTATGAAAATCCCAATACATCTCTGTGTTTGTCTGTTGCTGGTTAACTTGTTATTTTTCTATACTTTGCAATGTGTTTGCAAATTTTTTTTCAGCTGTGTGGATTTAAAGAAGTAACAGTGGAGGACAAGTATCCATTGAAAGAATCCTATATTCCTCTTTTGTTTTATTACATCGCTTTATTAGGCAAAATAATGAAGAATACCACCTATAGTTCAATTTCTCAGAAAACTCTCAACACTTTATATCAACTTATTTTACACACACATGCATGTAAAAGGAAAGGAAAACATTCACACATTACAATTCCATTCCCATTTGGAATTTTGCTTTGCTTCACTATGGTAGACTGATGCCGATCTTCAATATTTACACAGTTCAGTCTAAGTTCTAAAGCTTTTCTCACCAAAATTATGCCCCTGATTAAGTCAATTGCTTAGCGGTGTTTTTTGTGGGAAACACCTCAATGCCATTTTCATATACTTCTTATGCTCATGGATAAAGAGTCGAGGTCCCATCCTAATTTGGACTGCTTCTGTAGTGGTAGCACTGCCGTCACTATAGTCAAACAGGTATGAGAGAAGAAATGCTTGTTGGTTGTTGCTCTTGATTCTTCAAATTTTCCAGCTTCCTTTTTCTGCAATTGCACATATTTTAATGAGGCTTGTGCTGCAATTTCCTCATCAGTACTCATCGTGATGTTTCATGCTCCTGTTCACTTTTCTTTTTGTTTAACAGATCCCTTGCACGATCGACCTTTTGACAACCTCTGGAATGCAGCTAGCTTTGTTAGTTCAACCTATGGCCCTCCCTCATCCATCAGAGGACCCTATTCAAGTAATGCTTGAGCAATTTGTACTTCTAATTGGCTATCCTGATGGCCGGCGTAGAGTTGCTGATGAGAGGCCTGAGATTTGTAAATGAATAGTTGAATTTGTTGCTTCAAAAGTGTTCATGATTTGTTGAAATTTATAAATTCATAAATTTCAAATTGACACATGTTTATTTCTACTTCATGTAACTCTAGTTACATCTCTGTCTCTTTTCTTCTTAAATGCTTTCCTAGAAATTTTTAATACACACATCTTTGGATAATGTATAGATAACATGATTACTTAACATTTTGTTAGAGAATACCTTAGCGGCATTTTGTGAATATAAACGCCACGACAAGTCATGACTATTAACGGCGTTTTGGTGAAAAACACCACTATATATCATTATTATTAGCGGCATTTGTAAAATAAATGCCGCTAAAAAGCATAACCTTTACAAATGCTGCTAAATGACCTAACCTATTGCGACTTTTGTAAAATAAACACTGCTAAAAAGCATAACCATTTGTGGCGTTTAACGTTCACAAATGCCACAAACTTTTGCGGCTTTTCTTTTAGCGGCGTTTGTTTTTGCTCCATAAGGGTTTTTAGCGGCGCTTAAAAACGACATTATATGACTAAAAAAACGCAGCTATAAACCTGTTTTTGTTAGTGCTCATATGAATTTAACTTTTTTTTTTCTTTTATTAAATATTAGGAGAGAATTGTGGGGTTTATGATTGGTGTCACATGCTTTGTTTGAATACTCCGGGTAACTATTGTTCATCACGGCACTGCCCTCTTGAATATGAATTCAACAGTATCAAATTCAGTTGCGAGCCCAAAAATATGAATTCAACTGCATGGGGGTATCCTTTTGCCTTCTCAGTCAGTATACTCTTCATGGGGGTAACTGTAAAAACACACACTTAAAAAGGATGGAAACATGCTGTCTCTAAAAAGAAAAAGGAAAGAGTAAAGTATATAAATGCACTAAACTATTTTAAAATTATTTTTTGGTCACTAAAGTTTTAGAAATTATAAAATGATCCTCAAATTTATCGAACTATTATAAAATATTTATTGCACGTTATAAAATAGAAATAAATTTTGATAAGTATTAGGACGCTTTTTTAGAAGTTCATTAAGTTCTAATGATCATTTTTTTTGTTAAACTAAGGTGATTATAAAATAATATATATTTTAAATACTTTCAATTATTTGACAATAAATGATCAATCACATTTGCTATAGTCGATGGTGCTCGAACCCAAAATCTCTAAGAATAACTACTATTCATTTAACCACCATAGAATTTGATTCACGCAATTTCTAAGGATAACAATTATTACTTTAACCACTAGATAATCTTATTCATGCAATTTTAATGACCATTTTGTATTAGTTTGTAGCAGCTCATCAACATTTAAGATCCTATAGATTTTTTTTATATAGAGGCCGTATGGGTTTTAAAATCATCAATAAGAGGTAAGTAGGAAAAATAATCAAGACCAAATATGATTTAAATGAATGATAACTTAAGGCAACAGAAAAATTACTTACAAGAATCGGGAACTAAAAGGATGTTTAATGGTAAAGTTACAGTGTCAGTTCTAGTTGATCTAGTCGTTGAACAAGAAGGAAGATCATCCCAGGATTCCATAATCTCCTCTACTTCAGATTCATCACCACCACTTTGTTCGATAACATTACATTCTTCTTCTGATGCCTGTATCAACTCCAGCTCCATTGCTACTTGTTTCATGGTGGGTCTACTCTTTCCATCAAGATTCAAGCATTTTTTTTTGCTAGTTTAGCCACTGCTATAATTTCTTTTTCTGGACCATCATTTTGTACCATTGAATCCAGAATTAATGTTGTCAAATAACGAATTCTCCTGCAGTGAAAGGAGAAAGCATGACACCAAGCTTCTCACTTCCTCAGTTTGTTAGCCCGTTGGGTTTGTATTTCTCCTCTTTATGAAAGATATCTGTTTTGATTATCCGGAAAAAGAAAGAAGGATATATGTTTCACGTTGACCATTGTCAAACCCCTAAGCCTCCTGTTATGCTTTCACTCGTACATGCGTTATCTTCTTCCCTGGTTTATCTTAGATTTCTCTTCAACACTGCTTGCTGTTGTAATCACGTGAGTTTTACTCTCACTTTACTTGTTTTATTTATGAATGTGTGTGTACAGAGATTAAAGAATAACATGCAAGTATCACATGGCCTGAACGCTTTCAAATTTTATAATTGATAGTGGAAGATGGATATAATTGCATACAATATTCAATCCGCCAAAATTGAAATTTTAGGACTCTTGCTTTCACTTTATCACAAATAGTTTATATACGTTGAAGTTGAAGAGAAATTTTATAATTTACTACGTTAAACTTTAAACATAAACTCAAAATATCGACTTGACTCGACTCGAATTTTATAAACTCGAGTCGACTCAAAAAAACTTTTGAATCAATTTCGAGTTATAAAATAAAACTTATCAAATCGAATAAATCAAATTTTTTTATTCGATTCGACTCATGTAGCTTTCACCCCTACTCTTACTTTCATTTTGTTGCAGTAAATACCGGTCTGTCTCACTAGACAATGTGTTGTTGATAAGTCATATCATTTTCAACAATAGTCAATAACAGTTAACGATAAAACAACTATTTTGTAACTGAATAAAATTAATAATTATTTTTATAATTAAAAATTATTTAATAAAACTTAATAATAATTTATGTACTTTTATCCCCATCTTGAGTCTTAAACCAAAATATGAGACAAAAATTGACAACTCAAAATCGAGTAGTACTGCACGTTACCCAATAATAAAACAGATAGAACAGCTGTACTGTACTAGGAATTGACAGCTGCTTCCCACTAGTACGCATTCTTAGTGAATGAACAAAGACCAAGGTCTCTGTCCTGCAAATTTTGTCCTCCTCTCGAACAGTAAATTAAGCAATTAAATTATTGCGATAAATGGAAGCAAGAGTCCAGAAATTTCTTTGGGACTTGACGTATTCTATGTTCAAGTATGGAGGGCTGAATATTGTATGCATTTATAAAATTGAAAAGCATCCATGCCATGTGATACATTCATAAATAAAATAAGTAACATGAGAAGCAAGAAAATCTTTAAAACTTGATCCACTTAATCCAATCTACATCAGAGAAGTTAAGAATCCAAATGGGTTTTCATCTAGAGTTCTACTTCATCCTCCTAATCCTTTTATGCTCAATGTTACAGGCAGCAGAATCTCAAGAAACTAATTGCGGGGAAGAAGTATGTGGAAATGTTACAATTCCATTCCCATTTGGAATGAATAGAAGCTGCTATGCCAGTGACTGGTTTAGAGTAATTTGCAAACGAACCCATAATGGGGAAAAGCCTTTCATAAGCGTAAAGGGCGTCGATCTGGAGGTACTGGGTTCCTTGTTCTCCCCAGACACCATTCTGATAAAAAATCCAGTAACTTACGTTAACTGTGATCATAAAAAGGACGCTACAGTCAATCTGGAAGGCACTCCATTTTTGTTCTCGACTGACTACAACATGTTCGGGTCCGTGGGTTGCGGGAATTTGGCTATTATTTCCAGTAACGATGGTGAACCCCTTGGCGGCTGCATTCAATCGAGATGTGGAGACAGGGGTTCTGAACCTGAACCTGGCTGCTTTAATCAAGTTTTAGGAAATTTCACTTCAACTATAGTCAACATGAGAGCCACGTATCCTGGTGCTAAGAGATGCGCATCTGCTTTCCTTTTTACCAGGCTCTATTTCCGTGGAGATGATCCATTAGGCATTGGCAGTGGCATCGATAATGAAACCACGCATGTCCCCACAACCCTCAGTTTGAATTCAACCTTTTGCAAAGATGGAGGTCAGTTACTCACTGTCACGCAGTTAATTACCTTGTTCTTTTATAGAATTACATTTTGATAAGTACCTTTATTTCTTCGGGTTTTTTATTATAATTGAAATTTTATTACCCAAAAAATGGGAAAATTCGCTATAATATAATTAACAACAAACCAATTTTATGAGAGCTAAGCAACAAAAACCAGCTTGACTAAACAATAAAGACTACTTGCTTACCAACCTCTTGAGCTATACCCCCATTTTCAACAAAAGGAGCCTCCTTGTTTTATCATAGTCCCACAAAGCCTTAACCTATCGCAATCTTTAATTTCTCAAACCAAGTCAACAACACCCCCCCCCCCCAAAAATACGCAAAGATTCTGTTGTTCCTCTCCCTCCAAATGTAATACAGAAAAAAACACTTCAAGCAATCTTTAGCAAGGTAGTACGGAAAGACTTATCCTTAAGTCGAGACATCGCCCAATAAACTTCCTGACGCCATTTTCCATCGTGTCTCACCAATGACACAATCTCAACGCCTTCCCTCAATCCTCTCAAACCTCTCTAGCGAAGTCACATCCAACAAAAAAAAAATGATCCCCTAATTCCAACTCCAGGAACAGAAACAACGGCTGCCATCATCTACAATCCCCCATTATAATAGAGGACTCTTAGTCGGAAGTCAAGTAACAATGGCGTTCCGAGGCACGTGAAAAGCAATCAGTTAGATTGCTTTTGTTTTTTTACTTTCCAATTTTATATCATTATAAATTTTTATTTTACTGAAAGAGTGAATGTACATAAGTAGGATTTTAAAGGGTGTTAACTTGGAGCAATTTACACCGTTTTGCTAAGGCCGCAGGTTGCGAACCAGGACCAAGACTAGGACCGACCAACTTAAACGGTGAAATCCCTTGTGGGAACGTTACGTTTCAATACCCATTTGAAATAAACGACCAACATCATCCCAATGGTAGCCGGTTTAGAGTCATCTGCAAGAAAACAACAGATGGGCGGTCAATGCCTTTCTTGAACATAAATGGCTTGGATCTGCAGATACTCGACTTTTCATTTTTGAAAGGCAACGTCGTGGTGAACCATACAATAATTTATTTCAATTGTCGCAAGAAGAAGAACAATGGGATGAGTCTTAATCTAACAGCCACCCCCTTTTACTACTCAGAGGGCAACGTAATTTGGTCTGCAGGTTGCGGTAATTTGGTGACTGTTTTCGGCAACGAAACGAGTAATCTTATTGGCGGCTGTTTGCAACCAAGTTGTAGGAATAGCAATGAGGATTCCTCAGCTACTGGCTGCCCTACTAATGTTCCTCAGGGTCTCTCTTCTTTTTTTGTGAACATGAGTGGAAGGGTTGATTCTAGTGATTATAGCCGGAGAAGATCTTGCGGATTTGCTTCCATAGTAAGCTGGGACGTTTATTACGATTTGACCTCAGAGCCACAAGATTTCGATTTAAGTAATTGGACGTATGTTCCAGTATTACTGCAATGGAGCACGCCGATATCAGGATCGTGCCATTTGAAACAAGGTTTAAGCGCTAATTGTAGCTCCGATCGTCAATATTGCTGGCAAAGTTTGGGCTCTACTCATCTCTGTGTATGCAACAAGGATTTCGGTACCGGGGATATTTCGAGGTTATGCAAAGGTACAATTGAACATATCGTTTCAATAACACATCTACTTGTTTATATTTTTTGAAAGCTGCCTATTTCTATTCTATCTATTTAACCTTTTTTATTTCTTTATTGAATCAGGAAAGAATTGCGGGGCTTATGTTTGGTGTCACATGCTTTGTTTGAATACTCCTGGAAATCATTGTTCACCACGGGACTGCCCTCTTGGATATGAATACAATACTACCGCATTTAGTTGTGAGCGCAGAAGATCTGCTTCCCTAGTACCACCACCACCACCACAACAAAATACTCGGAACTGGACAAGCATCATTATAGGTATGACTTGAATTCATCCGTTCATTCTTTTCTACATATGGAAGGAAGCATTACGATTTATCAAATCAAAAGTTCCAGCAGTGATATATTTCATTTGAATGCATGCAAATGAAAATTCTTTCATTGTTTGCAAATGAATCTTCATTAACCACGAAATACTACTTTTGTTTTTTCTACGTCTCTGAGTATAAGATATGAACAAAACTGCATTGAAGTATATTTATGGTTGACTTATAAAACTATGTTTCTTATTTGTATATAGGTTGCAGCACTAGTATTGGGACAATATTTCTGCTACCTGTAATATGGCTAATTTACAAAGCGCTGAAAAGAAGAAACGCCATCATGTTGAGGCAGAAATACTTCAAAAAGAATGGAGGTCTGTTACTGCAACAACATTTGTCCACCAATAAAAATAATTTTGAAAAAGTAAAGTTGTTTACTTCCATTGAGATGGAAAAGGCGACGGATTATTATAATGAGAACCGAATCCTTGGTGAAGGAGGCCAAGGAACTGTTTATAAAGGAATGTTAACAGATGGAAGTATTGTGGCCATCAAGAAATCTAAAATGGCAAAGGGCAAGAAATTTGATGAAAAGAAGGTTGAACAGTTCATCAATGAGGTAATAATTTTATGTCAAATTAACCATAGGAATGTGGTTAAGCTTTCAGGATGTTGTCTGGAGGATGAAGTTCCTTTACTGGTATTTGAGTTCATCCCAAATGGAACACTGTATGATCTCATTCATCACCAAAATGACGAATTTCCAGTGACATGGGAAATGCGTTTACGGATTGCAATTGATATTGCCAATGCTTTGTTCTATTTGCATTCAGCTGCTTCTGTTCCTATTTATCACCGAGACATCAAATCAAGCAACATACTTTTGGATGATAAGTACAGGGGGAAAGTGTCGGATTTCGGAACTTCCAGATCTATTACACTTGAACAAACTCACTTAACTACACGAGTGCAAGGAACTTTTGGTTACATGGATCCAGAGTACTTTCGATCGAGTCAATTTACGGAGAAAAGTGATGTCTATAGTTTCGGAGTTGTTCTCGTTGAACTTTTAACCGGCCAAAAACCAATCTCAAAACAAACTGAGGAAGTGAGAAGCTTGGTGGCGTGCTTTCTACTTTCAATGCAGGAGAATTCGTTATTTGACATTCTGGATTCAATTGTGCAAAATGATGGTCCAGAAAAAGAAATTACAGCAGTGGCTAAACTAGCAAAAAGATGCTTGGACCTTGATGGAAAGAGAAGACCCACCATGAAACAAGTAGCAATGGAGCTGGAGCTGATACAAGCATCGGAAGAATATAATGTTATTGAACAAAGTGGTGATGAAGAATCTGAAGTAGATGAGATAATAGAATCCTGGGATGATCTTCCTTCTTGTTCAACCACTAGATCAACTAGAACTGACAGTGTAACTTTGCCATTAAATGCATCCTTTTAGTTTTCAATACTTGTAACTTATTTTTCTGTTGTTATGCAGTCTCTGTTTAATAAATATATCCTACGTTTCTTCATATTTGTTTAAATTATCATTCATTTAAATCATAATTGGTCTTGATAATTTTGTTACTTACCTCTTATTGATGTTTTTAAAATATATACAACTATATATTAGAAAACCTTAGGGTCTTGTTTATTTTCTTTTGTTGTCCTCTACTTCCAAAACTTTGTCCTGATTAATTCGGTTGCACATCTAGTTTTGATGGGTGAATCTCCTTGCAAATATTTTCTGCATATATAAGGACTCAAACCTAAGATCTTACTTAAGCAATATCAAGCTACTTACGACTTGAACCAACCTTGTTGGTCTTGATTATTTTTCCTACTTACATCTTATTGATGCTTTTAAAATCTTTACTTAAATGTTGATGAGCCACACGTATGAATGAAGTTAGCTTCGTTTAAAGGAAGCACGAACCAATCTACCTCAGTGGTAAAATGAATGATTGTTATCCCTAGAGATCGTAGGGTATTTAAGCTTTAATTGTCAAATGATTAAAAATCTTTAGAACAGATACTACGACTTGTAAATACCCTAGATTCATAAAAAAAATAGTGTTTAAAGGAACATTTGTTATTTTTAGAAGTTTCAGGTTCGAGCACCAGAGACTATAAGGTATTTAAATGTTCATTGTAAAATGATCGAGAATCTCTAAAACAGATACTACTATTTGCAAACACTCTACATTAATTAAAAGAAAATATTGATGAGCCACATGGATCATTTTCAGTTACGATTTGGGCTTAGAGTGAAATTTGTGACAAAAAAATTACAAATTATCAAAATATAAAATCTGAAAATTTTGGTAAGAAAGGAACGACAGCTCACCTTTTAAAAATGGAAAAACGAAAAAAGTGTTAAATGACTTTCATCTATCTGAAGTGGAGAAATTTTGCTTATTTCCAATAGCACTTGAATGAACACGCAGTAAAAAAAGTTTTTTTTAAACCTAATAGGAGAGGAGGGTTATCGCGACGCAATATATCTTGTTATTTTTTAATCTCAATATTGTAAAAGATACAATAACTTTTAAAAATGTCAATATTGAACGAATGATCAGGTGGGAAGAGCATTAATAATAATAAGGGTCTGGACAAATTGTTCCCTATCGGTATATAGTTGAATTCCAATTGATTATTCAATATTAATAAGTTTGGTTTTGGTATGAAGAACATGATTTACAAACCAATGATATTGTACTAATGTTCGAATCTTGGAGATCTCATCAAAAGTAACCCCTCGATCATTGGTAATTGCTTTTAAGTAGAGAAGTTCAGAGGATGCATCGACAAGACTACAATATCATGTTTTTATGGTGGATTGATATATAAATCTTTCCTTCTTTGAGAACCAGGATATAATGCTATATCTGAGAAATGCACAATAACCAGATAGCAATTGTTTATCATCTCGATCAATTCCTAGTCAACTTCAGAGAATGAAGTGAGCACCATGGATTGACTAGGACAAGGAGTATCACAAAAAATGAGTTTGATTGCTACCCAAATGACCATGTCGTGGTGCATGCATGTACTGGACTATTTTGTTAACAATGAAAACAGTATCTGACCTAGTGCAAGTGAGATATTGTAATAATCCCATAATACTTCAAAAATATTGAACATCGTACACTGCTTATTCCTCAGCAAACTCAATCCTCTTCTTAAGTATAAATTATTTATTTAGGGTTTTCTGTTAGCAGTTGATGAATTTGTCGATTCATGGTACACACCCACTCTTTGGCATATGAGTGGATATGTTACTATGGTAATTGATTTACATCTACTATCAGGGATATGAGCAGGTAACAATGAACTTCAGGGATTACTACCAGACCCTTTCATCTCGTTTCTTGAATGTGACCAAAGTTGGTTTTTTTTAATATATATATATATATATATATTGCAGCGAAACTAGCTATTATCTGTCTCATAGTATGAATACAAAGGCTAGTAACTCAATAATCATGACATTTCCCCCCCCCCCTCAGATGCTACAGATGAAATCTTCAACTTAACAACCAGCTTGAAAAGCTCAAAACCAACCATCAAGAACAAAATTAGTCCAATTTATATGACTCTTTGCAAACAACAGAAGCATTTAAAAGAAAGTGTACTGATATTTTGCATCTGTATATCATTTGCAGGTCTTTGGAAATCAAATGGTACTGCTGCATATGGATCTACCATAGTTTTTGTTTACCTTAATTACAAAATCTGATGGCTAAGAGAAAATGCAATAAAAACTCTCATGAAAAAGAGTGGGTAAATAAATTCATTACCATGAAGCTAACATCAACAATTGCATTCTCAATTTCTGTATACAAAGGTTTGAGGTATTTTTCTAGTGTGCATTATGTTCTCTCAAAGTGGATTGATTTTACCTTACCTCCTAGAAAATGCAGGTGTGGTGTAATCCATAACTCGTATAGAGGACATTTCTGTTAAGTCAATATCTATACAGACATACTCTAGAATATGCTGAGATCCAAGGAGGATTCAGATCTATTTACCATACCCTACTTGATTTCAAAAAAGTTACAATGAAGGCCTTGATAAGCTACCTCAACTCAAGGAACTTGAGAATTCGAGAATGGCATAAAAGTCTTAATTTATAAGTCATCATCATCTTAGAATCCACCAACTGGGGCAGCAATACATACTACAATATATGCAAACCAAGATATCTCAATCGTGAAGTTAAGCAACTTATGACTAACCATGCTATAAAAAAGGCATCTTCAATTATGAATCCAGATCGACTGAAAAATCAACTGCAGGAGATGTTATAGCAATTGCCAACATAGAATGTTTAAATTGACATTAACATACAAGAGACCTTTTGAACACCTAAAAGTTACAACCAATTCAAAGATGAATGAACTGATGGCTAAGAGAGCTAAAAGAAGCCATTTTGGTTATCTATTTAATATCCCTGAGCTAACTAGCAAGTCATGCAAGAAGAAAAGTCCAAGTACAATATATCTAAATTTAGATGAAGAAGACTCTTTTAACACAACAGTGCAGCTAATTGACTCCAAGTTCTCTGCATAAAGAAAATATTTTTACTTTTTTCTTGGATTAGATCCAAATCTAGAATCTAGTCAAGCCCACAATTTTGGTTTTCTTCTGGTTAAGAAGATAACCCACCATCACAATTGAATTCACTTTTCTTTTTTCTATCACGGTGGAAGTCAGAATTTTCAACTGCCAACCACTGCTTCAGCATCTTCCTCAAAGATGCCATACAAGAAACCGATATTTATTAGGGCATTCAATCAATTTTGACCATTAAAATTGGGAAAATAATTAAAATTGGTGAAATTTGTTGTTCGTTTCTTTCGATTATGTTAATGTTTTGGTCACAACCATAAATTCTCCTTTTTAAGAACTTATGCTTTTTAAGCAGCTAAAATATTGAAGAAAGCTGTACAAAAAATATAAATACAATCAAGGGAAAGATGAATTATAGAAAAAGCAACGGCGAGATGCTAATGTCTTACAAATAAGACAGAATCGAAAGAAACGAACAACAAATTTCACCAGTCAACAATGTTACTGTACACACAAACAAAGTGAATCACGTACTGAAAAGAGAAGGGTTAGCGGAAGCAGTTCCAACTTGAACTTCAAGAAGCTCCAAACGACGTTCCAGGGTGTCGAGTTTCTCGTTCAGTGATGTTAATTTGCTCTTCGTTGTAGCCTCTGGAAACAAACAATTAACATTTAAAAAAAGAAGAAAAGAAAATGGAGCATGAAAATGAAAAGTCAAGACAAAGGAAAATAAGTAAAGTTTACCGAATTGGAGGAGAAACTCAAAGAGGCGGCGAACATTGAGGGAAATGTGAGAGATAAATTCGCGATTCTCCCAATCTGCTTGGACTGCTATCCCTACGTTCACGGCGTTCGTTATCCCTCCTGCTCTTGCCATTCTTTCGCCCTTTATCTCACTTTTCCCTTTGTAACCCCCCCCCCCTTTAAAAATGCTGATTTTACAGATCTTCGCCTCGCTTGTTGCTCAATTTGTATATTTGTTATAAACTTTTTATCGGTAAATAAAAGAAAATTTTGGTACAATAAAATTGGATCCAGTTTTGTGGGTTGGTGTTGGAATTGGATTTGATCATTGGGTTAGTCGTGTGTTTATGGTTGCCATGTTTTCCCTCTGGGTTATTATCAGGTTCAATAGCATTCGAATTGGTATGTTTAATTCGTTAATTCATCGATTTGGATAAAATTTATTTTTAAAAAATCAAATTTTATTTAATTCGTTATTTTTCATGGGTTTACATGTCAGGTCAGGTCTTGGGTAACATTCGTCGCAGAAAGCGCTTATAAAACTGATTTGATGAAAATTTCTTTTTTATTCCGACTAATTCGGGTTGATCCGTGTCACATATTTAATTTTGGTGGACTCATCTCCTGGTAGTAATTTTTTACATACATAAGAGCTCAAATTCGAGATTTATTTAAACGATATTAAGTTACTTACCGTTTGAATCAATCCTCATCAGTAGTATGCTTAATGTTCTTATCATACTAATAAGTGAATACAATATCAATTATGATGTTATGAACAAAAAATAGACAATTTTATGATATGCATATTAATAATATATATTAAATCTTGGAATTACTTTAGCTTGAAATTGTGGTTGAAAATTTTAAATGAGTTAAGGACTTGAATGAAAACAATGAAACAAATGTTACAGTTATTTCTTCTTCCTGTTCCCGATACCAATGTGGTGCAGTTTCCAAATGGTGAAAGAGTATTTATGTTATTCACTAATATGAACATGTCATTTACCATATAAATCATATTCTAGGGTAACAACAAAACTATTACGTCTCAAAGCAGGTTCCATGCTTCAAAACATATGTATGTATGCATGCATGCATGTACATTTAATAGAGATTCATATCAAAGTTTTCTCATTTAGACCCATAAAAGCTTAATTTACATTGTACACAATTTGGCCTGCTAGTAAAGCTACATTCCTTGCCTGCCTCCAACACTAAGAAATCTCATATTGGCACATTCATCTGTGTCCAAACACATGAATAATCAGCATAAAAAAAACATGACAACAAGAATAACAGAACCGGAATGGAATGATTTATTGCAGACATGGGAAACACAACAACTCGTCAAGTACCTGGATTACAATTGTACTCCATGGCATGATTTATTGCTCAGTTATTGTACTTCATGGTTCCCTTCCCGAATCCAATTATCGGGAATTGCTTTGTGTACTCCTCGACGTTGTGGCAGAGTTTTGCAACCTCGGATTGAAAGTGAGCAGACTGAAGTGTGGCCACGAAATCTTTCAGCTTCGTCCCTGGTTTACAAAAACAAACAGCATGCAGCCAAAAATTAGCAGAATGCTATGCTACTTTGACTCGAGTTCCAGAAAGGATATGCCCAATTTTCCTGGTTTTATGTATATTTCGAATTCGAAGATTCGAGGAGGATCATATGCCCATTCTGCAGAAGCGTTGTACACAAGTACTTAAAGAATTACAAGTAGTACTGTAGAAGTCCAGAGATAAGAGTATAATATGAGGGAATAAAAGCTTGCAAAAACCTGTTGTTTCAGCCTTGATTTTAACAGCCAACTTCACAGCAGCATCGAAGTATTCAGCTACCTTAACAAAGTCCTCAACAAATCCCCTAGAAGTAAGAGCCGGGGTTCCTGAAGCACAACCGGATTCGTCGGAATAAGTATATGTCAAGCGAGCACAAGTACATTAATAGTAAGAGCCTTCACCCATCCTGATGCCACCAGGAACCATATCCGACACGTCTCTAGGTACAGTGTTTTTGTTTGCATCAATATGAACTGCTTCCAACACCTTTTCAACCCTGGAGCCATCAATGACCTATAGAAAACGTTCAAGAAAAGAGCATTTGCGCATGAGAACTTTTAATGAAGATTCATGAATTTGTCCAAGTTGTTCTTACCTTGTTCTTCAGATTAATCAAAAGTAGGTGGTTCTCTGTTCCACCAGAAACAAGTTCATATCCTTTTGCAGCCGAAGTCTGCAAATTTGGGAGATTTTGGTTGTTAAAACAATTGCATTTGAGAAGAAAGAAACCTATCTTTATTGTTTAAAATCATCTTACATGTCCCTAGGAATGTCTCTATGCTTTATTGCATGACAAGTTCTGGTACATCTTGCAAATGATACCTGAGCGAACTTAGAGAAATTACTTAGAACTTGCTCTTGGTAGGCTTTGTACTCTGGAGTCATCGCCTGTTTCAGTGCAACTACTAGACCTGTAATCGTGTGGTTGTGTAACCCAGTCCCACCTTGAAGTCCGGGGAAGACAGCCTGGTTGATTTTGTCTTCATAATCATTCAAAACCTGCAGGAAAAAGAAAAAGTCTAAATTTCTGTGCCACTTCCATCTTGAAAGGGGTAAAGTTTACTTTCAGCAGCTAACCTCTTTCCCTTGTTTTTTAATCTCTTTCACTCCCTTTCTGAAGAAAATCATGGCTCCACAAGGCCCGCGAAGCGATTTATGAGTTGCGGTGGTGACAACATCAGCATACTCGAAAGGCGAAGGGATGACACCGGCTGAGACCAAACCACTGATATGTGCCATGTCTGCCAACATTATTGCTTTTTGCTTGTCACAAACCCGGTTAATGCATAACCAATGTGACACCGAATGGGATCAAAAACATGAATTTCCATGTATGACAAAAGATTATTACCTTTCGAATGCTAGCATAATCATACAGACGCGCATAAGCGCTAGCACCAGCAACAATCAGTTTAGGCCTGAAAAGAGTTGCACTCTTTTCCAACTACAATTAAAAACTTGGATGTGAAGAAAATATTCGAGTAAGGAAACCAATCACACAGTGATATCGAGTTCGAGAACCAATACTGTACCTGGTCATAGTCAATATAGCCAGTGCTTTCGTTCAACCGATTTGGCATTGTCTCAAAAAATATGGAGACAGCGGATATCTTTTTGGTATCTGTCTAAACAATCACAAAAGAAATACTGTAAATATCAAGCTGCAACCACAAAAATACTGATAGGAACAAGAAGAGCTCCTAAGAAACTGTTGATTTGCAGTCATTTCAATATGGAATTTAGAAGTACCGGATAACCATGAGAGAGATTGCCACCATGAGGAAGATCAAGTGCCATAATTCTGTCATGAGGCTTTAAGAGTGCAGTGTAAACCTGGAAATTGGATGGAGAACCAGAGAGGGGCTGCACATTCACTGCCATACAACAGAGTTGAATGAACAACCAAATGCTAATTAGGCCCAAAACAGCAACAAACGTTGTTTCCAAAACATGATATAATATCTTCTTCGACCATCAACATAAAACTAGAGGATATCTCTTACCTCCCCATTTTTCAGGATCTAGCCTGAATGCTTCCAGAGCTCGCTTCCGACACAATGTCTCTGCCATGTCGATGTACGTAAAAAATGGAACTTTAAAATAAAATTCAACATACTTTTACATTCAAAAACTCTAATTTTATGGTTTCTTTCTCTATTTCATTATAGTTAGCTGAGCAATATATAGGTAGAATGAAAATGAGTGTAGGGCAAAAGATGGACATACTCATTCCCTCCGTAGTATCACGGACACCGAAGTGAAGTTCTCCGATGGAATGAGGTCGAGTCCCTTTGAACGCAAACATCTTTCATTTCACTAAAATTATAAAACTCTTGAAACTATGTATTTTAGCAAAGTTGAATACGAAGGAACCTTCAATTGGCGGGCTTTTTCAAGCTCAATGATGTCTGCAATTTCAGGATCAACGGCTTCAAGTGGAGCATTCAGTTGCTTTGGCCACTGTATAGAAAAGAGTATCTTCAATATAAACTAAATAGATTGGAACTTAAAAGATTATATATATAAAAAGAGCTTTACAGTGACCCCAGGTTTCTCCCCCTCGTACACAGCTTCATTTGGCAAAGACGACTGCACTAGCACACAAACACACACACACACAAAAGAAGAAGAAGAATAGAGATTAAAGAAAGAAATGGCTATGAAAATTTAGTAGGAGGAGAAGGAGAAGAAACCATGTAATAGAAAGGGAAGTGGCATTGAAGAAAGGACGGAGAGGCTTGTCGATGGACGAGGAGAGTCGTCGAAGCGCCATTGCCATGGCCATGTTTTTGTTGTTTGCTATGGAAGAAGTACGGGGGTGATATTGTATTGTATGTTAGCTAAGGTTTTTGTTTGTGGCGTTGGGTGAGGGTAAGCTTTTGGTGGTTGGAAATGGTTCAAATCAAATCTTTCGGACATGGTCTAGTTTGGTTCCATCTGGTTTTTGTAAAACACGCCCTTGCAATCATGATGTTTGTTAGTTAGTGTGATAATTACCTAACAAAATAACAAAGAGAAAATAACTTCAATGATTGAAAATGCCTTATAATATACGATTTTAACCAATTTTTTTTGGATTTGCAAAAATGACTAATAAATTCGCAACGCGAACTCCAATTTCGCAACACAGTTTCAAAATTCGCAACGCGTATATGTAAATCGCAACGCGATTTTCCAAATTCACAACGCGATTTCCAAATTCACAACGCGATTTCCAAATTCACAACGCGATTTTCAAATTTGCAACACTGAATTTCAAATCCGCAACTCGATTTCTGAATTCGCAACGCGAATTTTGTTTTCGCAACTCGATTTTCGAATTCGCAACATGTTTTATTTTCACAACACAAATGTTTTGGGTATATGACTACGCAGCAGCAGCAAACTCATAACTTAAATTGCAACTCATTCCATCTCTATCTATCACTCTCTCCGGCGACATCCGTTTCTATATCCAATAACATCCTTCCACATCTCTAATTTTTTTTACATAATTTTATTTCTATATAAATTTTCAATGATTTCTCTCCCAAATTGCCAACTATCAACTTAATAAAGGTATGTTTTTCTCTAAGCTAGTGATGATACGTAGTTTATAGCTCGTTTGTTTAGTAAATTAATTTACAATTTGTAGAATGAAATCATCTAATGTTGATCATGTTTGGATAGATTTGTGTTTTGGAGGG